AAATAATAACTTGGGAAAAAAGAAAGAAAAAAGCATCTTTAACACCTGACCCTTTTCCAAAAATCCTCATAAAATGGCTGGCCAAACAGCACCTCACCAAATAGATCAGGTGACTTAGCCAAGAAGAAATACCCAAGTTGAACTTGCACTCCCTGCATCCCTAACATTGTGTTGGAGCGGCTCCAACACAAAAAAGGGGGCAAAAGGGACAGACTAACGGAAACTACCAACATACAGGTAATCACATATTAATAGCAGTCTTGCCACCAAGCTCATCTACATTTAAGTGAAGAAATATCACTATATAAATCATCGGGGGTGGGTGGGAGGAGGAGACGACACGTAGTATTTCATCAGCTCCTACCATACAGGGAGCAAAGGTGGCTGAGGGAGCAAATACCCCACCCTGAGACAGGGAATATTTTGCTCCTTTTCATAATATCAAAGATTCCTCAATATTTGACCAGGATCACAACGTATCCTACAAATTAATGTTTCTCAGGGTGGAGGAAAAAAAAAAAAGACACTCCCCAAAAAAGTAAGATTTGAATTCAACACTGCAGACAGTGGCCTTCTATTTAGAAAGAAGGTGACATCCACATTTCTTGGGTTTTTTGTTGGGCGTTTTTTTCCCCCCTCCTGCCAGCAAAGACAGCAGGGAGGGTGGGAAAGGGAAATATTTCGTTTGTTACATTAAAAAAATTTAGAGCGTTTGATCCACCGCACCCAGATGTAACCCCATTTTTCCAAAAACGGAACAAACAAACAAACAAAAAAGAAAAACCGGTATATCGAAGCGGGAGACACCAGGGATCGATCTTCCCTTTTCCCAGCAAAAAGGGGATGAACCCGGGCTAAATGAATCAGCAAGCGCCGCAAAGAGATGGGGCTGGCCGGGGTGTAAAAACAAACGGACAAATGAAAAGCGTGAGAAACGACTAAATAAAACACACAGGCAGCTGAACGGGGCTCAATGCCTCCCCAAGGGGCGGCAACGGCAAGACGGGGCC